CTGGACAAGGTCTGAAAAATCGATTCAAGTTGAGTAACGTACGAACGGTTCGAAAGTTGGAACTACCCAGTCAGACTCTTCAGTACGACGAGCTCAAGAAGTCATACCCTCATCTTAGCGGCCTTCCAGTTCAGAGTTATGTTGATGCAGTTCTGTCTCACGGTCAGAGCAGTACATCTTGAAGTTTCCTACAGTCTTACGAAGTAGGCCTGCGTGATGGCCATTCGCCGATTTATCGCCCGTCGTGGGTCCCCTGAGACGTTCTATTCTGACAATGGGACTAACTTTGTCGGCTAGCAGATCAGATCAGAAGCATCAACGAGGACTGTGCGGTGACATTCACGAACGCAAGGACGAGCTGTCCTCCTTTGGCTTTGAACGAATGGTGAGGTCTATCAAGGTAGCTATGGCAGTGATTTCGGATCACCCCAGCGACGAGGTACTCGGAACGGTGATCCTTGAAGCAGAGGCAGTCGTGAATTCCAAGCCTCTCACATACGTTCCACTGGATTCAGCAGAATGGGAAGCACTTACACCCAACCACTTCCTCTTATATGGCACGAAAGGTGTACAGCAGCCACCTCGACCACTATCGGATGGAGTTGGAGCTCTAAGAGATAGCTGGAAGCTGGCACAACACCTGGCAGATAGCTTCTGGCAGCGATGGGTACGGGAATACCTACCAGATTTGACTAGACGAACGAAGTGGCATCAACCAGTGAAGCCTTTGCAACCAGGAGATGTCGTCAAAGTATCGGAGGCAAAGGATGGTCAAGTTCGTAGTGCTACAGTTCGTACTAAGCGCCCTGCAGTGAAGCTAGTCCCTCTGGACATAGCTATTGAAGGTACTACCGGTGTAAATCAAGGAGCTGCGGAACTAAACGGGAGGGGAATGTTACGAAAACCGCTGGGCATTCGTCAGTCATCGAGAACGTGAGTTTAGTACGCTACTCGAACCGTCAGTCTGACATCTAGCGAAAAACGGAACTGGAACGCAAGTGAATTCCGGCCGAGGCTTCGAAAAAAAAATTTTTTTCTCGGCAGTAAACTGTAGACAATTCATTAGGTACTGCTGCAAGCGGCACCACCAAAGATGCAGCATATTTTCCACGGTTTGTTTGGAGGAGAACTATTCATAAACCACGTAGATACGTTAAGGGGGACGGTTGCACAGTCTCTATGGTCCATACAAATTACCAAAAAAATGTATGAACGATTGTCTACATGAAGGAGGGGGGGGGGGTTCTGAAACTTCTCTAATCCTGTAAACGTAATTTATGAACAGTCCCTTGGATGTAGACTGAAGTGGTGGATTTTACCAACGTCTGTCAGGTGCTAGTTTCAGCGTTATAAATAATACATTCTAATGGGGGTGAATTTCGTAAATGGATCTTCCTCAGAAGTGTCGAAGGAATGGGTAATTCGAGCCACGCAACTTATAATAATTTGTTTTGATTTTTGGGAACCAATTTTAAACACGAAGCTGTCATCACAAATGTGTTGGTTTCTCGAGTCTTAGGGACAAATTCTTTCATTAATAATTGATAGTTGAATATTGAATTGAAAATTAATTTAAAATTTAAAAAATTATTTTGAAAATTTAATTGAAAATTAATTTGAAAATTTAATTAAAAAAAAAACTGAAAATTGACCTGAAAATTGAATATTAAGTTGAATTGAAAAATGAATTCAAAATCGAATTGAACATTGAACTGAAAATTTAATTGGAAATTGATCTGAAAATTTAACTTTTAATGTAACAGAAAAATGAATTGAATTGATAATAGATTTTAAAAATTAATTGAACATTGCATTAAAAATTTATATAAAAAATATATTGAAATTGAATCGAACATTGAATGGAAAATTTTATTGAAATTTTGAATATTTAAATAAAAATTGAATAAAACAGTTTAATAAATTTTATTGAAAGTTTTATTGAATATTTTATTGAAAATTTAATTGACAATTTCATTGAAAATTTATTTGAAAATTTAATTGCAAATTTAATTGAAAATTAAATTGAAAATTTAATTGAAATTTTAATTGAAAATTTTATTGAAAATTTAATTGAAAATTTAGTTGAAAATTTAATTGAAAAATTAATTGAAAATTTAATTGAAAATTGAATTGAAAATTTAATTGAAAATTTAATTGAAAATTTAATTGAAAATTTAATTGAAAATTTAATTGAAAATTTAATTGTAAATTTAATTGAACATTGAATTGAAATTTTATTGATAATTGAATTGAAAATTTACTTGAAAATTTAATTGAAATATTTATTGAAAATTCAACTGAAAATTGAATTGAAAATTTAATTGAAATTAAATTGAAAATTGAATTAAAAATTTAATTGAAAATTTGTATTGAAATTGAATTATAAATTGGAGAAATATTAAATTATTGAAATAAAAATTGAAATGAAAATTGAATTCATGAATTGCTTAAAAATCAATAAATGAATTGAAAAAAATATTTGCAATTTATTAAAAAAAATAATTAAAATTGAATTGAATATTAAATTGAAAATTAATTGAAAATTTAACTGGAAATAATACAGAAAATTGAATTGAAAATTGATTTGATAGTTAACTTTTAAAATTAATTGAAAATTATATTAAAACTTTAACTAAAAATTGAATTGGAATCAAGTTGAAGTTGAATAGAAAATTAAATTGAAAATTTAATCAAAAATTGCATAAAAATTAATTTAAAAAATAATTGAAACTAAAATGAAAATTTCAATGAATTGATCTGTTGATTTATCTTTATTAAGGAGGCTTTCAGCCTGAGGCTGGTTTGCCTCAAATATTTAATTGAAATTTAATTGAAAATTTAATTGAAAATTCAATTGAAAATTTAATTGAAAATTTAATTGAAAATTTAATTGAATATGTTATTGAAATATGTTCATTTAATTGAACATAGAATTGAAATTTTATTGATCATTTATTTGAATTGTTTTTTGATAATTGAAAATTTAATTGAAATTTAATTTAAAATTAAATTGAAAACTGAATTGAAAATTGAATTGAAAGTTGAATTGAAAATTGAATTGAAAATTAAATTGAATAATGACTTGAAAATTTAATTGAACATTGAATTGAAATTTTAGTGATCATTTATTTGAAAATTTAATTGAAATGTTTTTTGAAAATTGAAAGTTTAATTGAAATTTAATTTTAAATTAAATTGAAAACTGAATTGAAAATTAAATTGAAAATTTAATTGAAAATTGAATTGAAAATTGAATTGAAAATTGAACTGAAAATTTAATCGAAAATTTAATTGAAAATTTGTATTGAAATTGAATTAAAAATTTAATTAAAAATTGATTTGAAAATTAAATTGAAAACTGAATAAAAAATTTAATTGAAAATTGAATTCATGAATAGATTTTTAAAATGAATTGAAAATTATGTATTGATTTGAAAATTTATTGAAAATTTAACTGAAAATTTAACAGAACATTGAATTGAAAATTGAATTAATAATTTACTTATAAAATGAATTGAAAATAAAAATAAAAATATTACTATAAATTGAATTGGAATTGAGTTGGAGTTGAATAAAAATTGAATTGAAAATTTAATTTAATATTGAATAAAAAAAATTAATTTAATTGAATTGATTGATTGATTTATCTTTAGTTATGAGGCTTTTAGTCTGAGGCTGGTTCGCCTTCACTATTTAAATGAAAACAATTTAATTGAAAATTGAATTGATAATTTAATTTAAAATTTGATTGAAAATTGAATTGAAAAAATTAATTGAAAATTTAAGTGAAAACTTAATTGAAAATTTAATTGAAAATTTAATTGAAATTAAATTGATAATTTATTCAAAATTATTTGAAAATTAACTGAAAATTAAACTCAAGATTGAATTGAAAATTGAATTAATAATTTACTTTTAAAATGAATTGAAAATTATAGTAAAAAATTTACTAAAAATTGATTTGGAATTGAGTTGGAGTTGAATAAAAATTTAATTGAAAATTTAATTTAATATTGAATAAAAAAATTTAATTTAATTGAATTGATTGATTGATTTATCTTTATTTATGAGGCTTTTAGTCTGAGCCTGGTTCGCCTTCACTATTTAAAGGAAAACAATTTAATTGAAAATTGAATTGATAATTTGATTGAAAATTTTATTGAAAATTTAATTGAAAAAATTAATTGAAAATTTAATTGAAAACTTAATTGAAAATTTAATTGAAAATTTAATTGAAAATTTAATTGATAGTTTAATTGAAAATTTAATTGAATATTGAATCGAAAATTTAACTGAAATAAAGTTGAAAATTTAATTCAAAATTTAATTGAAAATAAATTTGAAATTGAATGAATAATTGAATTATAAATTGATTTGAAAATCGAACTGAAAATTGAATAGAAAATTAAATTCTTGATTAAGGTTTAAAAAAATTGAAAAATATTTTTGTAATATAATAAAAAAATAATTGAAACTGAAATAAATAATTGAAAAATTATTGAAAATATAAATGGAAAATGATTTGAAAATTTAACTGAAAATTGAACAGAAAATTGAATTGTTAATTGATTTTTAAAATGAATTGAACATTATATTAAAAATTTTACTTAAAATTTAATTGGAAATTTGTTGAAGATTGTTTTCAAAATTGAATAGAAAATTTTATTGAAAATTTAAATAAAAATTAAATAAAAAAATGAATTAAAAATAATTGAAAACTTAAATGAAAATTTATATGAAAATTTAGTTAAAAATTTAATTGAAAATTTAAATAAAAATTCAATTACAAATTTAATTTAAAACTAAATTGAAAACTTAATTGAAAATTGAATTAAAATTGAAGATTAAACTGCAATCTTAAGCATACAAGCATACGCTACTCGTACACATATGTTATTTAATGCCACATCGAATGCAAACATTTAAATTTACAACTACAGTGAGAAAGTGAAAAGGTTAAAAAGGTTAAGTATTGTTCCAAAGTCAGTCGGTTTCCAGGATCAAGTGGGAATGCCCATCGTTCCATCAGTTTGAGTCAAACTTTTCAAGTTCCAAAAATACATGGTCAACGTGTAGGACTTGTTAACGATACTGGTGTACCTTGCCATCGTCAACTCGAACAGTCCACCGCAGCTGAATTTCAAGCTACGCTGTGACTGTAGCATCACGATCAGAACCGTCGAACGAACTTGCTTATACTGCTGGGCAAACTGCTGGCTGTACCTCAACTTGACTCCCCATTGAAATTTGGACAGCTTATGGGCAATCTGGTAATGCTGCAATCAGAAAACTGATTCAAGTGAAGGTTTGGATTTATTTGAAATACCTTACCGTTTCGTTGAAGTCAGACACCAGACGGCAAAACACGTAGCACTCGAGCATGTAGCGAACTAAATAATCCACCGAAAGAGCATTGAAACTGTCAAACTTCGGAGAGAACAGCACAGCCGTTATCCCGATTGCGATGAACAGCATGGTCATGTAGTACAGCAGCAGAAAGGTAGGATCCGCAAGGTTCTTCAAAGCTTTCACATTTCCCAGCACCATGCTGTGATACTTGATGCAGCTGTACAGTTCCTCCTGAAGATAATGCCAGAAGTGAGCTTCGTTGGACTTAACAGAAGAATTGCATTCTTCCAAAGCAAGCCGATCGTTGGCTCTATCCATAATCGTATCAAAAGAATCAACCAAAATTCTCATCTCTTCATGCAGTCCCATCAGAGGGATGAATAGAGTTAGAAAGTTACAAGACGCTACGCAAACGTACACGACAAACATAAAAGAAAAGCTTTTTTTCAATAAATGTATCTCGAACCAGCTGATTCCAACCAGATCAAAGGGCAGTTGTAACGGCACTGATTCGGATAGTCCCATGAACACTATAATCACGGTCTGCATTGCAATGTTTACGATCATGATGAATGTCAGTATGATGCTGTTTATGTAAACCTTCCGGCGAATGGCTATGGCAGCCGAGTCATCTGCTCTGTAGATCCTTTGGTTGATAAAGCCTCTCACGCTGGTCACGTATTCGAAGTTTTTTAAGATCAATCCACATCGCATGTAAATTATGGTGCATCCAATAAACATGTGAATGTTATTGATAGCCACTTGGAAGCTATCTACGGTCTGCAGGTTTTTCCAGCAACGCCTAGCCATCAGAATATAGTGCAGAAGCAGTAGAGCACGGTAAGTACACCATATGGTTCGGATGGTTGCTTTCTTGGATTGAATGGAAACTCCGGAGATTGTCAGGAAGTAGTCGATGAGATAGAAGGAATCCTTACCCGGAGTCAGCTGGGTGTAATTTGTCCACCAGTGAGCAAGACGTGTACGGAGCGTTTCGAACATTGTTTGATGATTGGTTGGGAAAGTTGATGTAGCCAGGAAATTTATAGCCGGTGAATGAAATGCTATGAATATTTTATTGTCAATTTAAGAGATGCTCCGAAAAATTCAGTTTCACAATATGTGATGAAAATTGATGGCTAGTATTACGTCAATTCAATTATCCTAATTGTAATATGAATTGTTAAGGCTAAAACAACGCTTTATTTGTTATAGATTTGATTTGAGACAATTTCCTTTAATTTTTCAATGTTTCAGTTTGTCATTGGAAGCTTACGCACATAGAGCGTCGGCAATGACCGGTTTAGAAATTGTCCTTCGAATACACTTAAGGTCCCAACTGGGAGAAAATTCCATTTGGGAACAGTGAAGCAGAAGTAATCGGCTGTTAGGCCAAACATTTTAATGATAGCGTATGTTGCTGGGTATTCCATGTAAAATACTGCCAGTTTATTTAGTTGCTCGGTCAATTCTTCAAAGTTCGAATTCATCTTGTGCAATGAGCATCCAGTTGAGTTCGTAAAATAGATTATCCATATTCTACCAGCTGTTCCATGCAACGCGTTGCGAGAAATTTAGCCGGTGCTTTACCGTACGTTGTGTTTCCATTTTCCGGCCATTTCTTGTTACTCGGGAGTCGGAAAACAGCGGCTCTTCTTGGGATTTCCCGGGAATCAGGAAATATTTGTATATTCTAAAGAAGCATATTTCAACAAAATTTTATTATTTTGTTTTCTCCTGGAAGACTTGCACGTATGACCCTTTCCTCCCACCCCTACCCCACGGGTGTTTCTGATTCGCCTTAGTTTTCCCGGAAGATTGAACCTTCTTCGGAAGGTTTCTTATGATTTATTTCGGAAATTTCATCCAACTTTGCTCTGAAGTTTCCTACAACTTGCCCTGGAAGAATGTAGCATCTTATTCCAACTTCTACAATTTCTTGCATTGCTCAACGGAAGTTTCTTTAAACTTCCGTACCAACAGTTCCTGCTGACTTCTCTCGAAAGACTCTTCTGAATTCTTTTGAAAGTTTCTTGTGGCTTTCCCAGAAGTTCCTGTGATTGCCTTTGTGTGTGTGTGTGTCTTCTGACTTCCGAAAATTCCTTTCATCTTTTCCTGGAAATCTCTGCCAACCAGGAATGGGAAAATTCATTCTCTCGCGCGAGCATCACAGAAACAAAATAGCCATCCTCACCTACAAACAAATTTCCGAACGAGTGTAAATTCCTCCAACCAAGTGACTCTTCACATAGACTCGAAACTGACAGTAGCCTACAACTGTGCTCAAGCCATCTTTTTTATTAGACTTCAAGTTAATGAGTTATTATCTGATTTCGATGCCGATAACTTTCTGATACAATTGTTAAATTGCTTTCAGGCAACACTGCATTTTGCAATTATGATATAGTAGCCTGGATTTTTTTCCTTTGGTTTGTTTTCCTTCGATCTTGTTTTCCGTACTGTTTACCAATGCTACCAACGCCAGGAAGGCAGCTCTTACACCTGGACCCTACCTATCAACTCAGAGATGTTATGCCTCAGAAAATCCCGGCGGCGCTGACTGGGAATGAACCCAGGTTTTTTGGGGTGAGAGGCAATCACGCTTACCGCTACACCACCGACGCCACCAGTAGCCTGGATTGTTTGCCTATTCTTCGCCCCTTCTTTGATGGAGCATGCCAGAAGAACGTCATCTTCCTAATCAATTAATAACTAATTATCCAGGCGGTCCACCTCAATGTTGTAGCTGTAGAATTTTCATTAGAGCAAATAGCAAACTTTTCCGCATATATTGCCGCGAAAAAGGCTAGAACGATGTGAACAAAAAGTTCACATTCCCCGTAGTAATTACCACATAAATTTCAAAGTCCCAGTACAGTATGAGTTCGTATCTAAACAAGCTTGATTTGAATCGATTAAGTTTGCTGGAGCGAAAAATGTATGAACCACACTCATATCTTTTATCATGTGAATTATTTGAAAGACCTCCAGCGGATCATAAAATACGATACACTCTTCTTCGAAGATTTCAGGTTGATTAAAATGGAGATCTGAAAATTTTAATGGTTTAAAAAACTAAAAAAAAAAATCATCACTCAGAATCCTGATTAATACATAAGTCTAATACCCTGGACAGACTATGGCTTATATCATGTAATATAGGCTGTCTTGCAATGAGCACTCATATTCTAGTTTTCACTGGAAATCCTATGTATGAGTGCTCATTTCAAGACAGCCTATATTACATGATATAAGCCATAGTCTGTACGGGGTATAAATCATTTTAACCAGCAGCTGTCAAACATGGTAAAGAACGCTTTTCATATACACGAAGACCGTCATTACCGAGCTTACGGTACATCCATCCTATGAAGTAATGCCATTCTCATGTTGACTACATTCCTCGTGACATGGGAAAGGTGGGAGCATATAGGAAAGCAAGAGTTTTCGTGTTCTGATATCCCTCAATTGAGTTTTTAAATCGAACACATTATCTGTTCATTTAAATAAAAGGTGTGTGAGATTTAACTCACGAGAAATTAGCAGTTGAAGTTGACGCTGATTTTAAAACATGTTTAAATACAACATTTGGCTTCGGACCGTACTCTTCTTTGATCCACGGAAGAACATACTTGCTTAAAATCCCGATGTAGACATCCGTGTTGACCTTGTCGCCTTCTGGAATGAACAACAGGTCCATTTTTATGCCATCGGAAGCCGCCAATTCAAACACCATAACGCTAGCATGATACTTGGACAGATACACGTTCTTGTGCTCGTCGGCCACGTCTTTTACCGGAATAGAACTAATACACCGGTCGGTTCTGTAATTTGATACGGGATCGACGGTAAACGTGCTCTCGTCGGTGAACAGGATTACCGGATTTTTTCGCTTAAGGAAGTTCAAGACTTTCTTGCATCGTTCAACTCGTAGCTCCCGGATGCGGTTGGTAATCATGTGAGTTTTTTCCGTGCCCTCGACTTCGCCCCGCAATCTTCCTTTACGATCTTCCGTGCCGTAAAGTCACTGATCTCGTGTTCCTTTACCATTAACCAGCCTCAGGCTGAAAGCCTCCTTAATAAAGATAAATTAATCAATCAAACAAATCTTCCTTTTGATAGCAGCGATAAGTCTCGGAACCCGAGCTGACCTCGGACGACCTGTGGCCACCTACGTGGATAGTTGTCCTTTCTTTTCTTGGTCTAAAAGTCTTTTGACGGTTACTGGGACACTCCCACGGCGATGGAAATGTCTTTTTGTGACATTTGCGCGTGGGACAAATCACGAATACGCTGCCACTTCGTCATGGTGCAGCTGTCAAAATAAGTAGATCATTTTTTTAGTCCGCATCGTGTTCTCTTGCCGTGCGGATCTATTTGCTTTTTGCTGAAGGAAGTGTTACTACCACCTAAAGCTACAACAAATTTAAACAGCACTTTTCAGTGCTCAACCTGTAAAAATGTTCTACCTTGTTCAACTCTTATTCCTCTTCGATCCTTGTTTGAGCCCTACCCGAGGTAATCCTTCTTGGATATCGATTTGGAAAATTCCTCTTCGATCCTTCAGATTCTTATAGTAATCTGCTTGGAAGTCGATGTGGATAAAAATTTACTGCCGCCATGGCGCCTAAACGCAAAACAAAGGGGCAAACTCTTGATCCCCCTTCTGATGAAATTAATTTGAGTAATCAATTTGATTTGCTCACGGATGATGAGAATGATCCATCATCCAAGAAAAATTCTAGTAAACTTTCCCGGCTTAATGCCAAGAAGGAAAATATTCCCCCTATTGTGATAACCACTACCGATTTCCATGCTCTTCGCATGGAACTTTTGAATTTCGTGAAAGTTAAGTTTTCACTACAAATTGGACGTCGGGGTAAATGCCGTGTATTGGCTGAAACCTTGGACGGATTTAAATGTCTTCTCAAGTATCTTACTGAGAAGAAGCACAAATTTTTTACTTACGACACCAAAACTGAACGTGTGTTCAAGGTTGTCATGAAAGGACTGCCCAGTGGTGAATCCCTGGATCAGATCAAAGATGAACTGGCAAAATTACTTGGAGTTGTGCCACTCCAAGTAATCAAAATAAAATTGAAATCCCGTCCTGGCGATTCGGGCAACGGGAT